CTCGCTACATTGCTTCTGTAAGCCTGGCTCCAAGAGTCCTCTTTCAGTGGCTGAAGTTTTCTCTGCTCCTCCTCTTAAAAGAACCTCCCAGAGGAAGGCAGGGCCAGGGAGCTCGGGCTATAAAAGCCTGTTCCTCCTGCAGGAGGCGGGACCTTTGGAGTGAAAGCAAACCCTACCCGAGATCCTCCACTGGTATGTTCTCCTCTGCTTTTCGTCTCTCCGTAACTGTTGTGCTTGCTGTGACTTGTAGAACTGGTGCCAGTTTAGTGTCTCTGAGAAGGGCATGCTTAGTTTTCCTATGAAGATCTGGAGCTAAAGGAAGACAAAATTGGAAATTTCTCAAAGAGCTGTGGGGAGAAGTAAATGCTAGTTCACAGATGTCTTTAGCACTCATTTGGATTTAGATAGAAATAGAGAAATCTCTGCTATATTTTTGAATGATTTAAAATGCAATTACAACTCCCCCCCTCCTGGTTGACAGTCACAAATTTCCTCAAAGGGGCTTTATTAGGAAATTCCCATCTTAAGGCTGCAGCTGACAACCTAACCCAGTTCTAGGTCCTGAAACTACTGGGAACATAATGAAGCAGGTCTCCCTTAAACCAAGACTGTGTTGAAACCTAAATTAGCGTCAAGAAAGAATGCATTCAAATAGTCAGTATTCTTTGATAATTAAAGCGGAAAAGTATATTTGACTTATTTTTACATACTGTGGTTCCTTCCAGTTTTTTGGCTTCAGAAGCATGCTGCTCATCACTTGTATTATTTAGGAGCAAGAAACACTGAGGAGGTGGATGAATAATTAAAGGTTTTATTTCTATTTAATTTTGAGTCCATTATGGCCAACACTGACTCTCAGTGTGAGGATTCTTAAGCTGAATGTAAGGGGATGGTTATTTCTTAAATCTGTTATGTGCTAATCCAAATTCACTTATTACCAGAGAGTTTGAGTATCCTGAGAGTGTAGATAATTTTATTTTAAAGCTGTGCCTTTGAATTTATAATTCTTTAAAATCTGAAAGTTATTATCCATGATTATTATTTTTGTCTTGTCTAAGAATTGATGTTATTCATGGCATCTGTGAAGATTATAGGGTTCCAGGTACCATAGGGACCCCCTGCCTTTCCCCTTATTCTAGGGGATTCTCAGAAAATAGCACCGTCAAGCATCATCTGTTGCTGGGTTCCACCTCTTGTCTCAGAGGAGACACTTTGGGGCAGGAGACACTGGGATCAGTGACTTCAGGAGCCTCCATTGGCTTTCACCATTTTCTCAGTGTTTACCCATCTATTCAAACTCCAAAAATGTGGCCGACAAAAAGAAAGACAACTAGAAAAGCAGGAGAATGCCTATGACACCAGGAATCTCAGTTCTGTGGCAGTGGATGACATGTGGAGGCCAGGTGTACACCAACCCTCCCAGGTCGCTGCCACTCCCACGTGCACCGTGGCAGCACGCCTGGCAGTGGGGGTCGGGGTGGTATCTCTGAATGGTGTCAGTTATATCTGAAGTTCTGCAAGTGTCACACTCACCATTGTAATGAATAATTGAAGGGAGAGAAGAGTGGAGGTGCCTGGGGTTTGGACGGGCCTTTGGAACATTCTCATCAGAGCATGAACGATTCAGTTCCTCTCTCATTCAGTATTACAGGCGTTGTTAATTATTGTTTCTCTTTTTTTGTTTTCCTTTTTTTTTTTTTTTACCATAATGTGACATAGGACTGTACATCCTGTTGGAAAATGGCATCCCAGGACTGGTGTGACCATGGCGACCAGATTTAAAGCTGAAATGCAGTTTTAAAAACATGCCAAATGCCATTCTTGTATTAGGACAGTAACATAGCAGACTGATTTTTTGTTTTTGTTTCTGCATTGAGCTCAGAGGATGCAAGAGTATTATGTTGTGAAAGGGTGACTTCTGGATTATTTAAAATTATCTATGAAAATCAATAATAAAAATAACATTGGGTCAATTTCTCCCCCAACCAATGGAATGAGTTTTCTAGCGCTTTATTTACATTTTGATAGTGTATTAATATAGTAAAAATGACAACCTATTCCTTCACAAAGAGGTATTTGTATTAGAGAGCACAAAGTAGTTTAAGGATTGTGCTCTCAGGCCAGCCAGTTTGGGTTTGAATCCTATTCTCTTCTACTCATCAGCTGTGTGACTTGGGGGAAGTTACTTGACCTCTCTGTGCCCTGGTTTCCTCATTTGGTTAAGTAGGAAAATAATAATTCATAGAACTCGTGGGAGGATTGAGAGTTGATACAAAAGAGTGTCACACAGTGCCTGGCACATAGTAGGCCTTACATAAGACATAGCTGTTATTTATTCTTGGCAGTAGGACGTTGTTCCTGGCCTGATGATGATGTGTTTCGTGTGCTGGCAGGATGAATTGTCTTGTTCATAGATTCAAGTTGTGATCAGAGAAGAATACTAAGCCAAAACTGCCTCTTAAGCACCTGTCAATTACATGCTTGTGTTTTACAAAGATTCAGTTACAAGTTCTGAAGGCATTTGATTGAAGCTTAAGATGAGGAAGGCATTGGTGTTGTTTGCAGCTTCTGGGTTAGCCCCGTGGTTCTCTGGTTGGAGTCCCCTGACCAGCAGTACCAGCAGCCCCTGGAACGTGTTAGAGACGAAAAGTCCGTGGTCCACCCCACAGCTTCCGGCTACCTCAGGTGGGACCAGCAATCTGAGATTTAATGAGGCCTCTGGTGGCTCAGTGTGTTGAGCGAACACCAGTTTCTCTGGGTGGGAAACTGGAGAAGCTGTCAGTCTTTAGTTTGGCACATGCCTGGGTTATGGGCTCGAACCCCAGTGTGGGGCATGCAGGAGACAGCCCATCAATGATTCTCTCATTATTGATGTTTCTATCTCTCTCTCCCTTCCTCTCTGATTTTTTTGAGGGTGATGGTCTCACTCAAGGTCACAGGGTTAGTGGCTGAACCCAAACTCACTCTCTAAAGCCAGAGCTCTTAACCACTAGGATTTCTTGCCTCCTGTGTCTCCACCTATTCATAATGAATCATTATCTTTCCATTTCATTACAGTGCATCCCACTCATGGCACTGTCCCCATACTTCTTTTGGGTGGAATGTTCTCCTATTGATGGAAATATAGGTTATTTCCAATTGTCCCCACTATAAATCACAGCAGCAACCATCTTTTGAGTAAGACGTTGTAAAGGATGCCTACGCTTATAATTAGTCAAGGTGAACCATTTGGCTTCCGAAAACCAATCAGAAGCTCATGCCTGGTGTCGGCAATGTCGGGACCAGCAGCTTGCTGCTCATCTACACTCTTTCCCGTGTCTCACTTGATTGGAATGTGATCAGAAAGCAAAACTGCCCTTTTCCCACAGCAGCGTCTTCCTTTCAGGCAAATAAAATCATTTCCTGCCGGGTGGTGCCCTACTTAGAAGCAATTTGCTGTATGGGGATCATAGTGAAGACCCTGCAGGATTGATTTGCGGTTTTACAGTAATGTATGTGAAGCACCAATTAATACTCTAGGCCTCTCTTCAAAATGCCTGGGGAGAGAAGTAAAAGGAGCATCATTGTTTTAAACAGCCAGGACCGCCCTTTCCCAGGGAGGTTTAAAGAAACTTCCAGTCCCTGTGGGTGGGAGAGTCGGAGGCTGGCCTGGGACGGCGGGCGATCTGGACACAGGAGTCAGGCCCATGTGGCCAAGAGCTCAGGAACCACGTGGCTGAGCGTGGGTCTTAGTCCTTTCCATATTGAGGATGTGGAATTAGTGTACAAACCAAAGGAGGATTTGGAGGGTGTGTGAGGGTACTTATCCCTTTAAATTAATCACTCACTAAGTATTTGTGCAGAGCTACCAGGTGCACTGTGCCAGCCTCGGGAAGGTAGTGCAAAACGAGATCCACCTGGTCCCTGACGTCAGCAAGCTGACGGGCCACAGGGCTCATGAAACAAATCAGGGTGGTCACAGCAGGTGGAGAGAAGGTCACCGGGCCCCGAGCCAGCCTGGGCATCACAGGGGACCTCCCTGAAGAAGTGATTCCTGAGAAGATGAGCAGGAGATAACCAGGAGAGGGTCTGGGAAGAGGGGGGGTGGTACTGAGGATGAGAAAGGTGGGGCTCATGTGAGGAGCAGGCCCGTGGGAGAGGCAGGATGGGTGAAGGAGGTGGAGGTGACACAGGGGTACTGGGCCTCTGGGGAGCTGGGTGCCAGGAGAGACTGGGGTAACGGGGTGTGCAGGATGGCTGATGCCTGCGTTCTAGAAACGTCCTGTTTACTGTGTTTGTGAACAGCACAGGGATGTGGTGGGTTTGGTTTGCAGCCTAGGATATGGGCTTTGGGAGACAGGGGCAATGGGTCCAAGTGGGAGGGGCAGGTACTGCTTTTGCGTGAGGAGTAGAGGGCAGCCCTGGGGTGTCTTTACGGGAGCTGAGGCTTCTGTGATGCCCAGGTACAGCCTGCACCCCAGCCTGGGAGGGTATTGCCACCGGCCACTTTGAGTCTCAGGGGGACCAGAAGGCGCATGCTGGCCCTTAGCCCACCCCCGTCTCCAAGGTAGTTCTCCCCCTTCACTTGCGGGTGTCAGGGCCAGGATTCCTCCCCCGACCCGACAGCCCCATCCTCTGGCTGCTACAAGTTGCTAGTTACAGCTGGTTCTGTAAGTTCTCTTTACTCCAAATCCATGAACCTGGAAGTAGCTATTTTGAAGCCACAGTGTGTGGTGGTCTGTGATGTGCATCACACTGAGGAGAGGGAGCCCCAAGAGGCCCTAGCCCTGGGCGGGAGGGACCAGAGACCCACGGAAGGACAAAGGACAGAGACCCAAGCTGGGTCCAGGGATGAAGATGAGGGAGAGGAGCAGAGGCAGAGCTGCAATTGCCCCTCGGGGCTGGGGGCTGAGCCTGGGCACTCAGCAAAGGGTGGGGAAGAGAGGGCAGAGGGATGGGCTGTGGTAAAGCTTTCCTGCCCGTGACCCGATCTCAGCACCTCCCACCCCCATTCTCCACAGGAGAACAGATGTCTTTCGAGGGTGCCAGGCTCAGCATGAGGAGCAGAAGGAACGGCACGCTGGACAGCACGCGGACCCTGTACTCCAGCATGTCCCGGAGCACGGACGTGTCCTACAGCGAGAGCGTGAGTCTGGGGGCACCCAGCCGCCCTCCTGTCAGAAAGCATCACTTTGGCACTCATGATTCTTTGGGGACTGATGCCCCTTCTTTAGAAAATGACATCTCAACATGTAGTATTTTGTCCTGTGGGTTATTTTTGCTGAATGGAGAAGCATTTTCTTTTCTGTGTTGTTTCTCATGCGTTCCTTTGTAACCTTAGTAAGTTGTTGAATAATGCGCTTCTTAACTGACTTTGATGAAAATGTACATGCTAACCTTTTAATAATCAGCTTAATATTCAGTGCTTGGTGTTCTTGCGTGCTGCCCGGTTGGATCACCTCAGAAATGATTCTTGATTCTAAGTCCTTTTCTTTTACTCTAAGGCTGGGCCTCGGTTTGTTCTTTTTTTTTTTTTTAATTTTTTTATTGCTTAAAGTATTACAAAGGGTATTACATATGTGTCCTTTTTTCCCCGCCCTTGACAATCCCCTGGCCTCCCCTACCCCCCGGTGTCTTATATCCATTGGTTATGCTTATATGCATGCATACAAGTCCTTCGGTTGATCTCTTACCCCCTTCCCTCCTGCCCCCCAACCCTCCCCGGCCTTCCCGCTGCAGTTTGACAATCTGTTTGAGGCAGCTCTGCCTCTGTATCTATTATTGTTCAAAAGTTTATAATGGTCTCTATTATCCATGAATGTGTGAGATCATGTGGTATTTTTCCTTCATTGACTGGCTTATTTCACTTAGCATAATGCGTCTTATGTCCATTGGTTATGCTTATATGCATGCATACAAGTCCTTCGGTTGATCTCTTACCCCGTTCCCTCCTGCACCCCAACCCTCCCCGGCCTTCCCGCTGCAGTTTGACAATCTGTTTGAGGCAGCTCTGCCTCTGTATCTATTATTGTTCAAAAGTTTATAATGGTCTCTATTATCCATGAATGTGTGAGATCATGTGGTGTTTGTTCTTGCCAAAGCTTCTCACCTGCTCCAGCCAGTGGCCACGCGGCCCTCGGGTTGCAGAGACATGCCCGCCGTTGCTATTGGATGAGCCGGCGTGGGTCTGGGTGCCGGAGGAGGCTCTCTCCCACGTGCAGGGCGCGTGGCTGTGGTACCCTGGACTGACCTTGGGTCACATCAGTGAGCTGTAGGGAAACAGAGGAGCAAGCGGGCTCTCCCTGCCCCTCCCCACACCAGGCGCCTTCGTAGATGTTGCTCCTGGTCTCACCTGGCCTGTGAGGAACACACAGGGGACAGGGACTGGTGGCCTCTGCTGTGCTGTCCTCTCCACATTTCTGGGTGGAAGCTGACTCAGGTGTGGGTGCACCGTGGACTTTGTTCCAGGAGAGGGACTGTCCCTGTCTCTCCCCCACCCCCACCCCCCCGCTTTTGTGGTGCATGTCTGGTGATGGCCTCCCTGCGGGTGAGAAGTCAGGGCTGGCGTTGGTGCCAGCAGCCTGACTTGGGAGGACTACCTTGTGTGACTGTCTGAGAACTCCAGCTGCCAGTGCCCGGGACCTGAGGGCAGTGGGTTGGGGTTGCCAGCCCCTCCTTCCCAGGGCAGGACAGCCCCTGAACCCCACGGCCCACTGCCAGGCATTCTGAGCTTGTAGGTCATTCACGGGACAAGCCTCCCTCTCTCCCCACAAGGGACTCTTTGTAGGGATGCGGCCTTGCTGGCAGCGGTGGACAGTGTTCCAGAGTGGTCCTACCACTTTGCTCACCCACCCACAGAGGGCACGAGCCCTTCACCCACTTTCCGTGTGCCTCGCTTGTTAATGCTTCTGACCTGGTGGGTGTGCAATGGGATGTCACTGTGGTCTCCCTTCAGACTTGCCTCATTGCTGTGGGGTTGAGTTTCTTTTCACACATTTATGGGGTGTTTGTGTGTCTTCTTTTGCTAGATGCCTGCTCAAGTCTTTGCCACTTTCCCATTCAGTTGTCTCTCTCACTCTCAGTAATTTATAGTTCTTCATATATGCTGTTTGCCAATCCCATGATTAATACATGTTGCAAGTATCTCCTCCTGCTTTGAGGAGTGTAGGTATTTTTTGAAGTATTTTTCATCTGTTTCCAAAGTTTGCTTCTGACAATTAAGGGGAAGCTTGTGGCTTACAAAGTCTTTTGGTTGGTTGTCAGAATTAGGTCATAGATATCATACCACCTTGTTGCTGGGGGGATGGACAGAGGTTTTGGAATATATCTCCTTTTGTAAAGCAAGCATAAGAGGACTAGAATCTGCAATACGTATTATTTATGCTGAACTATCAACAAATGCTTAAATTCCCCTGGTAGCCTTAGAGATGGAAAAACATAATTTGTATATATATAATGACTTTCTTACAAGATAACTCCAAGTAATTTTTAGAAAAATTTGCATTTAGTTATAAAAGTTTAAGCAAATGCCTCTTTTTACAAACACTGTGCACTCTAAAAGCATGAATGGATGAGGATGCTATGAATATGTAGTAAAAAGTCTTAGAACCTTTGAAGTAGGCGCAGGTCATTTCAGTATTCGTTAGTCACAGCAGGGGGAGGATAAATTGGTAATGTGCTGTCCAATGTTCTTTCTCCAAAGGAATTGGTGAATTTTATTGAAGCAAATTTTAAGAAAAGGGAGTGTGTCTTCTTTACCAAAGACTCTAAGGCCACGTAAGCAACTGTTTTCCCTCCGTTTTTGCTTCCATGTTCGAACGTAAATTATTAACTACCATTTCAACAAACAAACAAATGATCACTAGTCCATTTTTGAAGCTGTTTCCGTCTTGCAGTTCTCAGAAATGGTGCATGAGCAGGAAGAATTTGGCAAGTAGCTTGAAGTTGGTCCCTGGAGCGAAATCATTTTGTTTTATATTTTTAGCTTTGGCAATCATTGGTAAAGGCCCCAAGAGAGGCTGTGGCCCCCTTCAGCACCCCCACAAGCCCGGGACCCCCTCTCCCCCTCAGAGGCCCGTGGCCATGCATGTTGCCATTTTGTAGCAGTTAGCAGGAGACATTGTGCATGTGCACGCGTGCAATCGGACTGGCTCTCTGTCAGGCCTTCCCTTCTAATCGGGTGTTCATCTACTGTGAGTCTCCCGTGTGCTGGAGCATCGAGGCTGGGTTACCAAAGCCTTGGGAGCAGCCCCCAGCAGCTCTGCCCGAGGGAGGTCCTCCATGGATGCTAGCCAATGAGTGAGTGAGCGGATGGATTGCCTGCTGATGTGTCCCACAGAAGATGCACATGGACCCCAGTGCACAATGTGGTCCCACCTCCCTCTCCTCTAGTTCCCCTCTGCCTTTTCTACCTGCTGAAGAAGAAAAGTCTAGCTGTTAACTGCTGCGAGAGTTGCTGCTGTAGTTTACAATTAAAGCACTGACTCTCTGCTGAGCGGAGGTAGGAACAGAGGAGGGTGTAAGGACAAGCAAGAGCAGGGGCATTAGAATCAGCCCAAGTCCAACCTTGGCCTGGCTGCCTGCTCCCTGCATGGCCTTGAGCCAATTGTTCTCTTTTCTGAACTGAAATCTCTTATCCTAAAACATTAGCAAAGTATTCGTCATGGGTGTGGTAAGCATTCAATGGGGTAACACGTAAACACCTCGTATAGTGCCTCAGAGTACAAAAGGTTCTTAATAAATGAGTGTTCTTACTTTGTGTGAATTAGAAGATGAGCATCAGAAAAACTAAGGGTCTCTCTTTGGTCATTGGTATGAGCTTACTCATCAATGTCATTCTGCTCAGGGAAAATGTGTGCAAGTGTGGCTATGCCCAGAGCCAGCACATTGAAGGCACTCAGATCAACCAGAACGAGAAATGGAATTACAAGAAACACACCAAGGAGTTTCCGACTGATGCCTTTGGGGATATTCAGTTTGAGACTCTGGGGAAGAAAGGGAAGGTAAGCAATGGTTTTCTACCCTAACTAGCTAATATAGCAATTATATAGGAACAAAACTCGGGCTACCTTGAGTTACCTTGAACTGTCCAATAGTATGGAGGTGGGAGATGGGTGGTCAGTCCAAAAACTATCACAGAGAAAGAGAAAACTTACCTATAATAATAAAAGCGTAATATGCTAATTAGACCGGACATCCTCCGGGACGTCCTTCTGGACCAAGCCAGGGCTCCAAGGGAAGCCCGGGTTCCAGGTGCCTGCTGGTGACCACAGGGAAGCCCGGGTCCCGGGTGCCAGAGAGAAGCCAGTGCGGGAAGCCGGGGGAAGGAAGGCCTACTTTTGCACGAATTTCGTGCATCAGGCCTCTAGTAAAAGTATAAAAGCTATGGTTAGATTATGTGCAACTGGAAAGTTGGCCTTGCAAGAAAGGACTTTGGAACCTCAGATGATGACCGGCTCCGCACCCAGCGGCCTGTCTGCACACTGCAGGCACTCCTATGACACCCATGCTGACTCTCACTGCTGCAAGAGGACTGATGAAAACTTTCGTGAATTTCCTGTTTCGTTTGGCATATGTCATTCTTGAGTATGCATATGGCCCTGAATAAGGTCTACACACACCCACTACACACCCACTTTGCAGGCTCTTATATGGGGTTTTACAACAACCTTAAATGATCGTTAACAGTGTCTCCTCAAATCCTCCCATTTTCTCTATCTGAATGACAGAACCACTCACAGGTGGCTGAAAGCCTGGGCCTTGACTCCCTCCATCCCCCCTCCCCCCCTAAGCCCTGTCCTTGCAGCCCTGGAGGTGACCCAGCTCCCTGCACTGCCATCTCTTCCCGGGATCTCTGCCCTGGATGGGCCAGCACTGTGTCTAGCCTCCCACAGCTCCCCCTTCCTCAGCCTTGTTCCTCAGTCTGTAGTCATCTCTACCCCTGGAGGAAGCCCTAAAACATAACTGAACCCCACCCGTGTCTGCTCTGCTGAAAACGCTGCCCAGGTGCCCTGCTGCCTTTAGGATATATAGTCCCAAGTCCTCCAGCTGGCTTGGAGGGCCCTTTGGTGGCACCCACATGCCCCCAGTCTGCTGCTCTCCTTCCACTTCCCCATGGGGACCCTCCTTAGCTGGGTCCCGTAGGAGCAGGTAAGCCCGCTGATCCCTGGTGGTCAGGAGGACACGTGCCCACCGTGATGCTTTCCCTCTTCCCACAGTATATTCGATTGTCCTGCGACACTGACGCAGAAATCTTGTACGAGCTACTGACCCAGCACTGGCACCTGAAAACGCCCAACCTTGTGATTTCTGTGACCGGAGGTGCCAAAAACTTCGCCCTGAAGCCACGCATGCGCAAGATCTTCAGCCGCCTGATCTACATCGCTCAGTCCAAAGGTGCGCTTGTCTTCGGGGACAGAACGGAATTCTCATATGCGGTTCGTGCGCAGAATCCAGATGCTCTAGAATTAGATAATTAATCATTATCTTGTAAAAAGCGAGGACCTTAAATGAGTGGATAGGGAGCTCTGGAGGTGTGGGGGTGCTGTGGTTCACAAACTAACTTTACAATCAGTGTTAAGGTGCTTCCCTATGGGTAATTTAATGTTTCCTTTAAACGTCTAAGCTTTAATTTTCTTATTTCTACATAAAAAAATTTTACCCAGAATATTCTGAAAAATCAAAATTTATTTATTTGCTCTTTATATCAAGGGTGGGCTGCTGGAAACAGCAGGCCATAACCACCAGTATTGATGGAGATCAAAACAAATAACTGGGGCTTTCTTACTTGAATATTAGCTTAGCACTTTTTATTTTTTAAAAATATTTTTATTGATTTTTAGAGAGAGGAACGGAGAGGGAGAGAGAAAGAGAAACATCGATGGCCGCCCCCCCATGCCTGCTATGGGGGATCGAACCTGCAACCTTGGCATGCGCCCTGACCAGGAATCGAACCAGCAACCTTGTGGTGCACGGGATGATGCCCAACCAACTGAGCCACACTGGCCACGGCAGCATTGTTTTCTTTTTAAATTTTATTATGAAAATTCCTTCAAAAGAATTATAAGAATACAATGAATTATAAGAATTATAAGAATACAATGAATGTCTATAACTCTTCACCTAGACTCACCAATTGTTAACATTTTCCCATAATTCTCTTTCCATAAATATCTACATATTATGATATTTTTGGACTCACCTGAGAGTAAATTGTAGGCATCATGACAAAACCCCTGACCTGGAACATCTACTGAGATGATGTGAGGGGCCAGAGCTGGGAAGTCGGTCATCTGCCTGCACTCTGCGTGGGCCACGTGGGGTGCTACTTCACTCCCCATGGCCTCATTGGAAAGGGGGGTGTGGCCAACTGTGAGCACAGGACAGGAACCTTACTCAGAGCCGGCTGAGCCTTTGCTTCTCCCTTATTGACAGGCGCTTGGATTCTCACCGGAGGCACCCATTATGGCCTGATGAAGTTCATCGGGGAGGTGGTGAGAGACAACACCATCAGCAGGAATTCAGAGGAGAACATTGTGGCCATTGGCATAGCGGCTTGGGGCATGGTCTCCAACAGGGACACCCTCATCAGGAATTGTGATGTTGAGGTATGGGCGGGATGGGAGGAGGTCTGTGAGGTCACATGGGAGAAAGATCAGGGTGTGGGGCTCTGGCCTGAACGTTGGGGCTCTGTGATGGTGTTAACTCATGGGAAAGTTGGCCTTGCAAGAAAGGCCTTTGGAACCTCAGGAATTAAAAACAAAGATGATATAATCAAAGAATTCCTGGGAAGGTGTTGCCAATGGATGTGTTCAGTTCATTAAAATCTGTTCCCAGATTTTAATGAACTGGTGGCTCAGTTGGTTGGAACATTGTCCTGTATATCAAAAACTTGCAGGCTTGATTCCCAATCAGGGCACATACCTACGTTGTGTTTTAGATCCCCAGTTGGGCACATATGACAGGTAACCGATCAATGTTTCTCTCTCCACCCATGCCTTGCATTCTCTCTAAAAAAAAAAAAAAAAAAAAAAAAAAAAAATCCTCAGGTGAGGATTAACAACAACCACAAATTCATTTTCTAATCCCTAGACCAGGGGTGGGCAAACTTTTTGACTCGAGGGCCACAATGGGTTCTTAAACTGGACCGGAGGGCCGGAACAAAAGCATGGATGTAGTGTTTGTGTGAACTAATATAAATTCAAAGTAAACATCATTACATAAAAGGGTACGGTCTTTTTTTTTTAAGTTTTATTCATTTCAAATGGGCCGGATCCGGCCCGCGGGCCGTAGTTTGCCCACAGCTGCCCTAGACCCTGGCACAGGTCTTCTCATATGATAGATCGCAAACAAATATGTATGTGTGTATACTAATATCCACCTCTACCTGGATCTAGGCACATACATGTGTATGTGTATCTGTGTATATGTGTGTGAGTATATATGTGTGTGTCTGAATATGTGTATATACATATGTGTGTATATATATATGTACGTATATGTGCTATCTTTTTCTGAATGCTATCAATTTCAATGAATTTATTCAAAAAAGCACAGGTGATGGCACAAGAACTGGATTGGGAAGCTGATCCTTGCACTATCACTGGTCAATTATGTGATAATAGGCAAGTGACCGAAACACTTTGAACCTTCATTTCTTTATACTGAAATGAAGGCCTGTTCTATAAGATCTCTAAGATGTTCTGAACTTCAGAATCTGGGAAGAGGTATCAAGGTAGCTGAACCCAAAAAGTTAGCCTTCAGAGGAACCTATAAAAAATGTCATCACGCATCTTGGCCAACAAACAGAATCTCAAAGACAAGCTTCTGTGTGCTTTCCAGGGCTACTTTTCAGCTCAGTACATTATGGACGACTTCAAGAGGGACCCTCTGTACATCCTGGACAACAATCACACCCACCTGCTGCTGGTGGACAATGGCTGCCACGGGCATCCCACAGTGGAGGCGAAGCTCCGGAACCAGCTGGAGAAGTACATCTCTGAACGCACCATTCAAGGTCAGGACTCAGGGAGCGGGACACTGGACAAATATACTAACAAGAGCAGCAGCAGTAGCATCAACAACAGTAGCGACCAGTTATTGAGTGAAGCATGGCGAACCCACCTGATTATTCTCCTATTCCCAAAGAAGAGCTGTTATTTCTCTGCTTTCCTCAATAAATTAGGATGCTTTGCCAGGGTCACTGCGATAGGTACTCGTCAACAGGCTGGAGCAATGACAAATGCTGCCTCTTCCCCCTCTAGTGTGTTAGGATAGAAAGCCGGCTGTCTCTTCTGCTAGACAACAGTTCAGAATAAATAAAATCCCTGATGGCAAATATGAGCTCACAAAACAGTGCAATTAGCTGGCATAGAAATGATAAAAACCAACCTGCTGGTTTAATAGCCGACAGGTTTACTTCTTTGCATCTTGGCTACTTCTATGTGAAAGAACCACCTAATCAGGGGAGAATGCAGAATTTGTTTGCCATGGAAAGTGAACCACTCACTCTTTCTTCCTGTGGTTGACATGTGTGCTGTTGTGGAACCAGATTCGCTCGTGATGTAGTGATCTATTTCATATCAGGGAACTGCTGGAGATGTTCTCAGCTTTACACGTTCATCAATGGGACGTACAAGAAGGGAAGACATTTCTATATGCAGTGCTCCCCCTTGAGAGAATAAATAGTTATGCAAATTTTCCACCAGCTCAGAAAAGCATAGGGTTTTGCAAACGAGTGAGAGTTTTTATTGTGAGGATAAACTTGAATCTGGCCTAATATATGTTAGCAAAAGTAAATCATTTACAGACTTTAGCATTTTAAATACCAGTAACAAATTGCAGCATGACCTGCGTCATGCTGTTAGCAGCTTGAGACACTAAGACGCATCCAGCGTGATGAAGGGGTAAATAGTGAAGTCCGTGAAGTTTGTAGCCATCACCCCACACCCAGGGCTCACAGGGAAGAAGCTCCTAGTCCTACTCTCCCTGGTCGTAGGTGTCTTTTTTAAAAAAAATAAAGACTAGGTATTGTTTACTTGGTTAAAAATATTTTATGTGTATCATTATTTTCAAATGTGGGATTCTGACCAAAATGTAGATGGTCATTAAGAATTTATCAAATTGATTATTGTACACTGAGTATTTCTAATGAGTCCCAAAATAAGTTTTATGTTCATGTTTTACAGATTCCAACTATGGTGGCAAGGTCCCCATTGTGTGCTTTGCCCAAGGAGGCGGAAGAGAGACTTTAAAAGTGAGTCTTGGTTTGGTTTTCTAGAAGATTGGTTAACAAGCTCACTCATCTAATTTGTATTTTCAGGGTTTGGGGGCTCACCTAATCTAACCTGACTATTTTCACTAGAGCAAGTCAGTAGCATCTTTCCCACCACACAGTGTTTCCCTACCAGGCTTAGGTTGTCTCCTCAGCTAGATTTAGGAAGAGAATTTGCAGTGACATGAACAGTCTGAATACTCATTGTTGGCTTTGGCCATCAGCCTGCCAAAGAGAAGGGTTGGCATGAACTCATGAGACTTAAGGATCATAACCAGCATGTATCTGCATGCCACCCCATCTGTGTGGAGATGAGTTGTGATCAGACACACAAAGACTGACACCAAAACCCTGTTCTAATACCACCTTGAGCTTACCCACCACATGCTTCCTGAGCATGCAAAGTCTGAGCATCCCGTGTGAAGGAATCTGAAACCCTAAGTGATCCTGAGATCATGGAAAGCTTCTAGAATGATTCCAACCTGCATTGTTGAGCAGTGAGCAAGAATTCTGCTTCCCATTCCACCCTTGTAGACTTGACATTACTGATCTCGTCTTGCCTGCAGCCAGGCATCTGTTCCAACTTCTCAGAGAGCATTAGTGTGGCCACATGTGGGTGAGTATTTGAAGGCATGAGCATTGTTCTCATGATCGCACCTTTCCAGGAATAGGACAGCATAAGGAAGTAATTTTACCTCTCTCTTTTAGTTAATTTCCAGGTTGGCTTGCATATCCCCCCATTTCCCCTAACCTTTTTTAACTCTAAGACAGGGTTAGATTATAGGTATTCGAGGTCCTTGATCCTCTCTCCTCTTGTTACCAGAGTACACCCCTACAGTTACAAGCAATTTCTGTCAAAGTTATTTGGAATTTTATAATCTAGCACTTCTCTTTGTTTATTCTTTTATATAACAACTAGAGATCCAGTGCACGGAATCGTGCACCGGTGGAGTTCCTTGGCCTGGCCTGTGCCCTCTCACAATCTGAGGCCCCTCGGGGGATGTCAGAGAGCTAGTTTCTGCCTGATCCACGCAGGCCAGGCTGAGGGATCCCACCGGTGCACAAATCTGTGCACAGGGCCTCTAGTATGTATATAAGATCTTTGGTTAATCTCTTCCTGCCCTCCCTCCTCCCCCTTTCCCTCTGAGATTCATCAGTCTGTTCATGTTTCCATGCCTGTACGTTGAGCGTCTGCCCCTTGGTGGTCAGTGTGCATCATAGCTACCGGTCAAACAGTTGAACGGTCAAACCGTCACCTAGGCTTTTATATATATAGATGATCATTCATTCATTCGTTCATTCATTTATCAACAGGTATTTGTTGATCATCTGCTATGAGATCTATTACTGAGACCATTGTTAAATAAAACTCTTCTGGGAAAGACTTTTCAGAGGAAAATTAAAATAGAGATTTTTTTCAATGTAAAATTATCAGTTTGAAGAAATAGCAGTCACATAAAAGGAAGAGAAATGGAGAGAAAGTAACTGAAAGATGATTACATTTATTATCTCTCTCTGAAATTTTTAATTTAGAATTCAGCTTTCCAGACAGCTGCTGCAGGCCTAGGATGCTGCATTTCTGGAGCCTTTTCTAGGAATGTCTGCTCAGCCAACTCACAGCCCAAGGCACGGAGCACAGAAGAGAGGAGGAGAAGGGGGTGGACACCAGCTCTTTGTCCCCTCCTCTCTCAGCGCCCTTTTTATCACCCCTGCTCCCACCCAGCACAGCCCTGACACCCATAGCTGGTGCAGTGTGAGGTGGAGAAACATCCCAGCTGGGCTGTGGATCAGCCCTCTGCTCACTCTGATGAAGAAACCACACACTGTATGGGCAACATCTGCTCTAAACAAAGGGTTCGGTCTTGGCTAAAGGAAAATGCTTCATAGCTTTCTACCCATATGATCTCACTGTCAAGGGATTAAAATTCTCATACCTGATTCTCTTGTGCTGGCCTCCCTGGTCTTTATACAGGATGTGAAAGTGTGATAGGTGTGTATCCAGGAAGCAATTTTTTTTTCTCTTTTAATTAAAGGGGCAAGGGAAATTAGTTGAGGAGGGAAATATGAATCAATATAACACAATGTGGCTGCTGCTTTGAAGGTGTTTTCATACTCTAAGAGTATGAATATTGCTAACCTTCATCCGAGAAGCTAGCAACGATAATGTCGAGTGCTGTCACTCAAATCGATGGTGTCAGTGTTTGGAATGATCGATTTTGTACACAGGGATATTTTCAAGCATTTGTTGATGGAGAACTTCAATTAGTCACATATATCATTATTATGGATTTTGGCATTAGTACTTTCCTCATTCAATGCCAATAGCAAACATTTCGTTTGCTTCTGATCAAGAGTAAAACCCCAAAGGGAAAGTGCAGGGATGACATGTCAATGTGTTTGGTTAACCACCTTGACTTAGAGCCTTGGTCCTGAGCTAGGTTTCTGGTTGTTGTGTCTCTTCCATCTGACCGGCTCTGTCTCCCCTCTCCCAGGCCATCAACACCTCCATCAAGAGTAAGATTCCCTGTGTGGTGGTAGAGGGCTCGGGGCAGATTGCTGATGTGATCGCAAGCCTGGTGGAGCTGGAGGACACCCTGACCTCTTCCATTGTCAAGGAAAAGTTGGTGCGCTTCTTACCCCGCACCGTGTCCCGTCTGCATGAGGAGGAAACCGAGAGCTGGATCAAATGGGTGAGCTGTGGGGGAGACTTTAGAGGACTCAGAAAAGGGAAGCCAAGTTCATGGGAAGGGAAAACACCTTACATGCCTTCCTCCACCAGCAGCTGCGGCTGTTTCACACTTTCTCAGTGACTTTGAAACTGTGCCATGGCCCAAAACAATTTCTTGGTGGAAATGGAAGCTCACACAAGTTCAATGACTTGCCGAGCCTCCGTACCTCATAAGGGGTATCACGTGGGTTTACACTCAAGTCTGTCTGTTTGCAAAGTAGGCTAACCCTCTTTTTTTTAGAAAAATTTTTAACCCTCTTTTGGGGTGTTTTTATTGGAATGGAGAAGGAGAGAGAGAGAGAGAGAGAGAGAGAGAGAGAGAGAGAGAGACATGTGAAAGAGAAACATGGGTCGGTTGCCTCCCCTACACGCCCAACTTGCTTCCTCCTCTAGAAGTAGTGCTTCCTCCTCAAGCTCTCCAACGCCTGAAACCATGGAATTAGGGGGCTCTGCCTGTTCCCCAGAGCTTTGATTTTATAAAAATGTTTTACAATTAACTATTACAGAAAATTCCCAAAGGATGATATAGCAGATCCCTTCTCTATTCACCCAATCACTGAGTCCTCTTGGCTCTTGTTCACATTGAACCTTCCCTGCCTATAGTTTAAGCCCTTATGACCACACTTGGACAATTTCTGTTATTTTCTGTTGCCCTTTTCTCATTTATTCATTCACTCAACAACAGAACACCATGTGCCAGGCTTGCCACCCCCCCACACACACACACACACATCTGTCAATGGGCCTCTAAGCTTTTTGTTACATGTGTCCTTATATAACCTGTATTCTCACTGTGGTCAAGGACTTCTTATTTCCAATTTAGAAATTAGACTCTATGGGCACAGGAACTTTAGGTGGGAGAAGGAGGTCTGCAACTGCCCTGTAGATGGTATTTTTTTTTTTTAAAGTAGGAATAAAAGATTTTTTACCAAAAGTGTGAACTTTATACTCCTAATGTCTAAAACCAGTTGGCTGACAACTCTGTTCTTTAAATGTTGCCAGCTCAAAGAAATTCTCGAAAGTTCTCACCTGTTAACAGTTATTAAAATGGAAGAGGCTGGGGATGAAATTGTGAGCAACGCTATTTCCTATGCTTTGTACAAAGGTGAGTAAAAATAGCCACTCTGGAAGTCTCAGCTTTGTGTTGCTTCCTGTGACTTGCATTTATGCTTCAAATGGCTTTATTGAAATAGAATGTTGTGCTTAGTTTTGATTATGATAGATTAGAAGCTACAATAACTACTGTTGACCTGCTGAGTTAAATTTCCTTGGTTACATATTTTTAATAGAACAAAACATTTTTATGTCATTAAAATGCTGGTCAAATCCAATCATAGCACTCTTTAAAGACATGTCTCTAATAGTGGCTTAGAATTATTTTTTGTGCCTCAGACTCCTCTGAGAGTGTGATAAAGCCATAGGCATTTGTCCTAGGGGTCCACATATATGCACACACACTTCACACACATCAGTGATTCTGCATCAGTTTCAGGGTTTACAAATCTCCTGGAGCTGAGGAGTGAAGTTCAGGTTAAAACTTCTCACCTATGATCTTGGCTAGAATTCCATGAAGGTGGATGTTACCTGAAATAAATAGAACCTTGGCAAAGACCATCTAGAGTTGAGCTTCTTGATTATGGCTGTAAGGTATGCAGAGCAGGGTGAGCCACATAGGAAGTGGGATTTAAACATTTGCTATTTATTGAAATCATTCTTATTGTGCTCGCCAGAAATTTGGTTGTAAGAATATTTATTAAAATAGGATTATATCTGTAGAGAAACATAGATCAGAATATATTAGCTCTGGAAAAGACAAGTAGAACATTGTTGTAATATGGCATTATTTCATAGATTTAGATATAGTGTAAGTCAGATATGGTCCTTGAAATATCACATTTATGGAATCTGAGTCTATGGAAAAATATCAATACACCATTTACATGGTTAGAATATGAAGTGGAAAGACATTATTGACACTTGATCCTCATTTGGGGCATTCAGAATATTGATAAGAATGAGTGAAAATAAAGCAAAAGAACAGTTGTGAGTGTCTGCTTCTTGAAGAACATACTTGGAATCCCCTGGGGAAAATGGCTCTGATAATAGGTTATACGAATGGCTCTGGCCCTTTTATTTCTGGGCCTTTGGTGGTTGACTCTGCTGCCCTCTTGTAGCCTTTAGCACCAACAAGCAGGACAACTGGAACGGGCAGCTGAAGCTGCTGCTGGAGTGGAACCAGCTGGACCTGGCCAACGATGAGATTTTCACCAACGACTGCCGCTGGGAGGTATGTTAGCAGCTCTCCTGGCTATTCCAGCCTCAGGTCTGGTCCATTTCTGACAAGGTCTCTGGTATTGGCTCTTGCAAAGGGTTGTTTTCTGGTCCATCAATTTTGCCAGGCCTCCCTTTCCTCCTCTGTAGTATGGGGTAACAATATTGACTTAGTAGGTTTGTTGTGAAGAGATGATAATAAATGCACTGATGGGAGAACTCTCAATCCATGAATGCCATCTACATTTATAGCCCTCAGCCGTGATGTGAGAGCCGCTTCTCCATCCGCGTGCAGAGGTGCAGCTCCCCTGGCAGTGGGTGGGCGGGAGGATGGGGAAAATATGTCACATGATTGGAATGGGTATCAGCAGTAGCTTTACTAAAAATGAAGACAGCCGTACTCATTTTGCTCCCTGCCCCATCTACTTAGCCAGGTTCCGATAAGAGAATTGCCAGCAGTGAGATGCATCGGAGAAGGTAGCACAATTTGGTTGAAGACACACAGTGAATGTCTTAGAGCTAGAGGATCGGGGCTCCCCGCCAAATAAGCACCTCCAACATGCAAGTTTTATGTCCCCAAAACACTATTTTACCCCAATGTAGTGACTTTTCTCACTTGCAATTTGATCAGAGTTATAGAACCACACTTTCCAGGGATGTCCTCTTATGTACAACTGCAGTTAAATCAGCCACGGCAGCTCTGTTTTGTAGGAACAATCACAAGCCGTCACACTTGCACCTGCAAGGCTGTGGGTGAATCTGTTCTCAGCTCCTTCTGAATTAATCTGAGTAACTTGTGACCAGCTGGGATTTATTTAATTTTATACATGTATGCATAGATTTGAAGGTGCATGCATTTCATAACTGGCATCCTTCGCAGCCAGGTTCAGAAACTACTTTTAGGCCTACTGTTGTATAATCAATGATGAAGATTTGATTTATATTAACAGGTGATAAATTTTAATAACAGAATGCAAATAAAGTAATGACTTATGGATTTTTAAATTATTCATTCCTGCAGCAAACATTATCTTGTGTTTGGTCTTTGCATTTAATGAACTGCATTACACATTGCAAAGCTTTAGTTAGTTGAGGGAAAGTATAAGTAGATGTAGTTAATTGATTCATAAATGGATCCCTGTGTGAGAAATGGTCTCTTTAAGTAAGGTCATATGATATAAATAAACATAAACTCGGGCACATATTGAGCGGTGCATTTAATTTTATTAACTCAGCCTAAGACAGTGAAGGAGGAAGGGCATAATGGCTAAGCGTATGGATGGGCTCTGGAGGCAGCCCGTCGGCCTGACTTAACCTCTGCAAGGCATTTAACCTCTCCGTGCCTCAGGTCCCTCAGATGTGGTGCGGTGGAGCCTGCTCGTGCTGGCTTGCAAGAGCCGACTGCTAAGGCTTTAGAGATTTTACGAGTCAGTAATTAAATACCATCACTATTAAAATTCAACTATAGCCCAGCCAGGGTGACTCAGTAGATTGAGCGTCCCCTCCATATACCAAGAGGTCATCAGTTTGATTCCGGGCCCAATCCCTGGGAGGCAGCCGATTGATGTTTCTCTCTCATCAATGTTTCTATCTCCTCCCTTACTTTCTCTCTAAAAAAATTAAATCAATAGAACATATTTTTGGTTTGATTCCAGTCAAGGGCACATACCCGGGTTGTGGGCTCGATCCCCAGTGGGGGACTTGCAGGAGGCAGCCGATCCATGATTCTCTTTCATCATGGATGTTTCTATCTCTCTCTCTTCCTTCCTCTCTGAAATCAATAAAAATATATTTTTTAAAAAATTCAACTATATAGACTTAGAACTAAATACATTTTATTAAAAAACAAAGGTAATACATAGTCAAAACTCATTGCTTTCTGATTATTTTACTACATTTAGTATTATCTAGGCTCTGGGCATTATTTCTGTCTATTGCGTCTGCATGCTGGAAATAGTGCAAGTGCTGTGCTACTCCAGGTCTATTTTCAATTCTGCATTCAACGATGGCATGTTGGCAGCTGGAAGTTAGCCACAGTGGGAGCATTTACACAATAGGAATTGGCAAGACTACAAAGTGGGGTCTGTTATTTTCTTCCAGAGAGCTGGTTGTTAAACATTTACCGGCACACCGCTGCTCATCTGAAAATGGAGATGATAATAGCAGTACCTACCTCATTGGCTTGTTACAATGATTAAATTGGATAATGTTTCTGTAGTGCTTAGGAACATTGGTTCATATTAAATGACATATAAGTATTTGTTTAAAAATACATAAAAGTCGTTAGAATAATGGTAATGTTGGTGTGACCTTTTACATCACACAAAGCAGTCTCGTGTTAGTTCACTTGCCCCTCACACCGACCCATGGGGGGGACTTTCTCACTTTCCTGGGTAACAAACCAGGGATCCATGAGTACCACAGGAGGGGGTTACTGATGTTTGATTTTTTTAAAAAATACGTTTTTATTTATTTCAGAGAGAGAAAGGGATAAGGAGAGAGGGATAGAAACATCACTGATGAAGGAGAATCATTGATGGGCTACCTCCTGCATGCCCCCTACTGGGGATTGAGCCCACAATCTAGGCATGTGCTCTGACCAGGAATTGAACTGTGACCTCCTGGTTTATAGGTCGATGATCAACCATGGAGCCACACTCATTTTTTTTTTGAGGGCGTGCTCTGACCCAGGAATTGAACTGTGACCTCCTGGTTTATAGGTCGATGATCAACCACGGAGCCACACCAGCCGGGCCTCATTTTTTTTGAGGGCCTGCTCTGACCTTGAATTTCTGAAAGCATCTTGACCTATGTTATCTCATTTCATCTCCACAAGCACCTACGTATTTTCTAGAAGAGCAGACTGAGGCTCAGGGAAAATCTTGTCATACTGAGGCTCAGGTCACACATCTGGGTTTGTAAACAAAGATGTGTCAGTGGTTCTCGAAGTGCGGTCCCGGACCTGTGGCAGCTCAGGAACGACCTGGGAACCTGTCAGCGGCACAGATGACCAGACTCTGCCTCAGGCTTGTTAAAGGATGGATTTGGAGGTTGACTCCAGCACCCTGTGTTTAGTAAGCCTTCTGGGTGACTCTGGTTGATGTCTGAGGACCACTGCCCTATGGGTGGCCAGCGGAAAGGCAAATGGATTTAGAAGGAATTGTGAAACTGGGTACAAGGCACACTTTCCCTGAGGACAGAGGAGAAAGGGCAGCTGCCTTCCTTAGGACAGCCACCTCTCCCCTCCCTGTCCTGCCTGGAGCCACAGTGTGGGCCCCGAGGGATCCTTGACTGTTTCCTCTGTAGGCAACGTGTGATTCCCAGGGATCCAGCACTAGACAGACACAGCAACCGTCAAGGCTTCCCTTAGTAGAGACATTCATGACACCAGGGCCAGGGGAGTTTCAGGAGTGAAGTGGGCTAGGTGGACGGCAGTGAGGATTGGTGGGTTCCCCGGGGACTGGAGGACCCAGGTTCCAGGAGCAGCTGCCACTCGGCTCCATGATGGTACTCCATGTTGTCCAGGCTTCTAGATTTCAATGCTGGAAAAGTGGATTTATATGAACTTTCTAATTTTTAATGTTAGCAACTGAATTGAATTGTAAGAAATACTATGGAAGACAAAGGGAACATATCTGAGACCTGGTGTGACCCATAGACCACTGGTTTCTATCTGAACTAAACGGTGCTTGTCCTTTATTAAAATTCCCAATATGCTTTTCTGGAATAGGTTTTATCAGGAGTCCAGAAAGTAGAGATAAAGATAAATCATAACCAGGTACAATTGTCAATTATTTCAGTGATGCTGTTATGCAACATGATCAGGTATGTTCTTGGTGGCATGTGGCTTGAAGGGCAGCAGAAGATCCCATGACCCAGAGCAAGGTGTTGGCTGTTGGTGGCTCACAATCAGGGTCCACTGGAGACGTCAGGGAAATGGTGTGAGCTGTACATTCCCCACCCCCTGAGTGCTTCCCTTATGCCAGGCTCTGGGATAAATCCTTGACCAGCATAATCCCTACACGGGTGTAATGATCTCTACCTTACCACAGCAGGAGACCAAGTCACATCCAAGCCCACATCTGGCTGATATAAGAAATCCTACTTCCCCAGTATGTGAATTATAATCCAATGTCGTATTTCAATGGAAAAGATGTATTTTATTCTCAAGACGGGAGCTCAAAAGAAGTTGAAGATCCTACTACTTTGTGGCTGGAAATATGATGTGGCCGAGGAAGGCCTTGTGCTTCCTTTCCTGGGCCCAGGGTGTGAGTACCCTCTCTGCTCTCTCTCCTCAGTCCGCCGACCTTCGGGAGGTCATGTTCATGGCTCTCATAAAGGACAGGCCCAAGTTTGTCCGCCTTTTCCTGGAGAACGGCCTGAACCTGCGGAAGTTTCTCACTAGCGACGTCCTCACCGAGCTCTTCTCCAATCACTTCAGCACCCTCGTCTATCGGAACCTGCAGATCGCCAAGAATTCCTACAACGACACCCTCCTCACATTCGTCTGGAAACTGGTGGCCAACTTCCGGAGGAGTTCCAGGAAGGAAGACAGAAGCAGCAGGGACGAGACAGACGTAGAACTTCACGTATGTAATGGGAGACCTGTCTGCTTGAGTTCTCTGGTCTTGTGAGTCTTCCTTCAAAAAAGTTTCCCACTCCCTACCTCATCGCTGTCAGGTAGCAAACGTGTTGGCATTCTTATTTTTTTCTACTGCCTTTACTGAAGATAACGAGTCTCCCTGGTGAGTTTTCTGATGTCTGCTCTATGCTCTGTGCTTTATTTCAAACTACTTGTTGCAGAGTTTCTTAATTGCAAAGCTCAGGGAACAGGGGCACATGCATGGCTGCCTGTTCATGTCTTAGGCTTTTGGACATGACCTGCCTAAAATTGCTCTCCACTGCCCATGTAAAGGACTGAAGAACTGGCACATTTTCTTTTGTAGATAAAAGGGGCAGTGGTTATTTCCAAAGGGACGATCCAGGTACCCCTTGGAGAGGATGCTGTGACTAGCAATATGAACACCTGTATTCTCTAGGCCTTCCTATCTTAGGTACAGGCAGTTCCCAGCCGCCAGCACCTGGAGCTCTCTGCTCTGAGCCCGGTGCCCACAGTGGGTGTATGAAAATCCCAGCCCCTCCCTGTAAGGACAGGTAATTCTGAGGCATGTATGCTGCACTGGTTCCCAGGGCTGCCTAGCGGGACCGATCTCTAGCTAACCACCGAGACAATGAGCCTGTTGACAGTGCGCCTCAATGGGTTCTTTCCTTTTGGATCTTATTTTCTCAGATGCCCGTTGGTTTTCCTGGGATTGCCTCTTAAGTAAACTACATGTCTCAGGATTGCTTCAGGGGAAGCTAGGTCATTGTCTTTAGTGACTCTAGGATTTTAATATGTGTGCCTATATTGCAAAAATCTAAAGGGCTCGGTGTTTAGGAAGTGTTTAGGAAGCTTCTCATTGACACTATTTATGTTCAAACCCTCTGCAGTATCCATAACCAGGCCTGACAGTTTGGACCTCGGTAAAACCTGTATATAGGAAAATACACATCCTGTTGTTTTCTATCTGAAAAGGTTCCCCTGGAAGATATGGGGTGCTGAGTAAGAGCTGGGGTTTCAATTAATGTATTAGGAATCAAAACGCCAAAGAGATAAGCCACAGCTCTGTAGTGTGGTAATTGAACTTAACCAAACTATAGGAAAAGTTAGAAATTTAGTCTGAATGCTTTTTCTAGATGAGAAATTGATTTATAGGATGGAATTGCTTGCTCTTCAGCTGTCAGAAGTCATTCAGTGTTCAGATTGTTCTCGGTGCCACTTTCACTCTTTATACCTCTCCATCTAGTTGTACATTGTCTTTTATGATCGATAAAAGATTTTGTGTCAAATTATACCACCTGGTGGCTTGCAGAGCTGAGAACTGTGTCCCTGTGCTGTTAGGATGAATTTGTCCACCGAGTATGGAGCCTCCAAACATGGGCTCTCTGCTTGGGCATCCCCCCCACCCCCAACCCCCCATTTTCCTTCTGAGAGGAGTGCAGCTAGGGTGACCTTCCTTTGCACTTGCTCTAACCCTCCAGGACGTGTCTCCTATTACTCGGCACCCCCTTCAAGCGCTCTTCATCTGGGCCATCCTGCAGAACAAGAAGGAGCTCTCCAAAGTCATCTGGGAGCAGGTGAGTGAGCAAGCCCAAGCCACGCGCCTGCCTTCCTGTGGCTGTCCGGACCTCCAGACTCTCTTGCCTAACCTAAAACATCCTCCATACAATGGAATGTCTGCTGTCAGTTGAGTACGGCTGTGCCTGTTTCACCGTCGGCGGAGGTGTGTCTGGGAGGAGAGGCCACTGGAAGGGAGCTGTGCTTGGTGGGCGATCCAGTAGGCACCTGCTTCTCAGGTGTGTGTGGGTGTGTGATTGTTTTCCAAGTGGATGAGGTTTTTAAGTTTAATTTTTAAAATCTATGTCTAGCTTTATTGCATAATATCAGTTGAGTACGGCTGTGCCTGTTTCACCGTCGGCGGAGGTGTGTCTGGGAGGAGAGGCCACTGGAAGGGAGCTGTGCTTGGTGGGCGATCCAGTAGGCACCTGCTTCTCAGGTGTGTGTGGGTGTGTGATTGTTTTCCAAGTGGATGAGGTTTTTAAGTTTAATTTTTAAAATCTATTTCTAGCTTTATTGCATAATAGACAGAAGTAGGGCCTGGACACATTCTGCTTTGGGAAACTTACTGAGATTTTTCTTTGTGATTCAGCACAGAATGATGTTTTAGAAATGATTTATGGACAGTTGAAAAGAAGTTACGTCCTCTATTTTTAGTGCATAAAATCGGATATTGAATATTGAGTTCATACACAGTCTTACTACATTATCGCGGTTTCCAAGGCCTTATCCACTTGCTATTTTCCTTTCATATGCTAATTTCATGTTCAAGACTATTTTATGCACATTGCGAATTTTGCTTTAAGTCATTACGAACAGTTTAGATTTTGCCATTTTGCCGTGAGTTCGTTCTTGTTTGACATTAGGGTTGACTTGACCACTTCAAGGGATTATGAATTAACCCTGACATTTTCCGCCCTTCTCAAAGACCAGGGGCTGCACCCTGGCGGCCCTGGGAGCCAGCAAGCTCCTGAAGACTCTGGCCAAGGTGAAGAGCGACATCAATGCTGCTGGGGAGTCTGAGGAGCTGGCCAATGAGTATGAGACGCGCGCAGTGGGTAAGTCTCCTGGCCAGGATGTCACGTGGGCACAGGCATGCCCATGGCACTCATGTGCCAGATGGCAGAGCTCAGTGGCATGTCCATGCTCCTCGATTGGCCTGATTTGTGGGCTGCAGAACAGGTGTTCATGTGTCTGGCAGAAGTCACAGGCCCCTTGATCCTGGTACTTACTGACTTTTCCTAGAATGAAAGTGGGAAATCTTGGGCTCTCTCATTTCCCAGGGCCAGGTCTAAGTAGCTCAGGTGGGTGTGTGGGGAGTGGGGGTGTTGTGTTTGGATGCTATTAAAAAACTGAAGGTCTGAGGTTTTACCTGACTTGCAAGTCATTACGTTAGCTGGCCAGTTTCATATCTACATGCTGGTAGGACCCTAGGCCCCTGGTTCATTACTGGTATCATAGGCAGCAGTTGGAGAAGCATCTTGGGTTGGCCCTCCGTGCCTTGATTCCCCTTCAGTGATGTGAACAAGGGCTGGTTCTGTCAGGGCTGCAGGTGACCTGCCCACGCTCCCCTCCAGGGCGAGATCACCCAGGATCTGCAATGGAAGGTGGGAGAGGCAGCCCTAACCGTTATCTCCCGGAGTGCCTGTCCTCTGTTTGCTAGTCAATGTCCCTGGACACAGCTTATCAGGGCCCTTGGCTCGGAAGGCCCAGACTGGGTGGGGGTGTGAGGAAACCAGCATCAGTGGCCTCCCAACAGCAGCGTCTCAGACCTGCTCAGCTGTTTCCTTTTTCAGCCGCGAGTTTTGAGTTTGCAATGTGGTACGTCCTGAAACGCACGCGTGTTTGTCTGTTGTTGTAGCTTCTCTGGGTTGGAAAAAAATGTGTCCAATAATTTCTTTTAATATATTAAATTATGTTAATTTATGACTGACCTCAACTAGGCAATGGCTCCTAATACAGGGTGTCCCCTAAAAAATGGATGCGCACTTTGAATGATTATAAAGTCAGTGTTTATTAACATAATGTTCATTTTCAAAGTTTAAAAGAATCTATGAATAATTTTGTCAATGCCTGTCTTCAAACTGATGACCGTTTTGGTCCAGGCACTGCTGATAAAGCAAAGCAATGGAATTGCAAACATCAAGAATTATTTCATTTGGTATTTGTGTGCCTTCAGTTCACTGACTGTTGCTTTGGTTTATACCATAAACTTTATCTTTTTTAAAAAATATATATTTTATTGATTTTTTACAGAGAGGAAGGGAGAGGGATAGAGAGTTAGAAACATCGATGAGAGAGAAACATCGATCAGCTGCCTCCTGCACACTCCCCACTGGGGATGTGCCCGCAACCAAGGTACATGCCCTTGACCGGAATCGAACCTGGGACCCTTGAGTCTGCAGGCCGATGCTCTATCCACTGAGCCAAACCGGTTAGGGCTAAACTTTATCTTTTATGTATTCCCATAAAAAACTCTAGTGGCATTTTAGGATAAATTTTCTTTGTTCAAAGCTTAGTCTGGTTTCACCCATTATTGCAAATCAGTTAAACCTGAAAAGGAGTGAAATTGAGTGAGTTATCAGCTGTGAAAGTGTATATACATTTTTTTGGGACACCCTATATTTTACCAAATTTCCTCTGAAGATCTGCACTCTAGTCTCTTTGTCATTAGGTCTCCAGACATAAGCACACCCTCAGTGCAATATGTCGGTGTTTCTTAGATCTTTTTGGCTTTTTTGCACCATGCTTTATCTGCAAAGAAACCTCACCAAGAAAGCACAGCATGTAAATGAAATGGGGGGCGGGTTGCTCTGGGAAAGACAAGCAGAGGGTGTGGGTCCCTCCCCAGTGGCTGAGCCTCACCAAAGAGGGGCTCCCGGTGCTCAGCGCAGCCAGTTCCCAGTGCATCTGTTGCCATGGGAGCTGTGCTGGGGACGCTGTGTGCAAGGGAAATCCCATGCTCAGAAAGAATCATGTTGTGCCAGCATTTTCTATGCTTTTTGCAAACCAGGGAGCTCGCTGGGGGACGGGGGAGGACAGCCCTGGGTGTTGGCCAGCCCTGCCTCAGCTCCCCTCTCTCTCTGGTGCTGATGTGACTGTAGAGCTCTTCACGGAGTGTTACAGCAGTGACGAAGACTTGGCTGAGCAGCTGCTGGTCTACTCATGTGAGGCCTGGGGGGGAAGCAACTGTTTGGAACTGGCGGTGGAGGCAACGGACCAGCACTTCATCGCCCAGCCTGGGGTCCAGGTAAACAACGTACAGTCATGTCCAGAAACGTGCCTTTTACATCAGATGCTATTAGCAACCTTAAAAAATATAATATTAGTAACAAACTGCAACTCCAATGTGAAAGCCCTGGTGGGAGAAGGTGGGTGATGCTACGGGAGATGGCGGTGTCTAGGTATCGGCATGTCTTTGCTCCATGGGAGGGTGCAGGAGAGAGAACATCCTTTGAGTTTCCACAAAGCAGAGAGCACAGCACCACAATTATGGGCGGGGTCTTCGGATCCAGTGCCTGGGTCCCTGCATCCCTAACCAGGAGTGTGATGATAGGCAGGTTATACAAGCTCTCAGGGCCTTGGTTCCTCACCTGGGAAATGGGCAGAATTTGTTTAACCATGAAATAATTCTCGCCATACAGAACCCATGTAAGGACAGGATCGAAAATCAAACAGTTTCAAATTGTGGTCATAGCCCCTTAGAACCCAGGTAACTGATATAGACGGAGAAGAACCCTATTTACTTGGGGCGGTGCGAGGGCCGGTAAGAAAGGTTGGGTACCATCCTGCATGTCATAGCATTAATAAGGACCCCTGTCCTTTGTCTTTGTTCCCCTGTAGAATTTCCTTTCCAAACAGTGGTATGGGGAGATCTCCCGAGACACCAAGAACTGGAAGATTATCCTGTGTCTATTTATCATACCCTTGGTTGGCTGTGGCTTTGTATCATTTAGGTATGAAACCAAGACACGTATGTGTGTGTGTGCGCGTGCTTGCGCGCTCCCATGTAAAGAACTGTAAGGCCTGGAACTTAGGATGTTCACTCTGCCACCTACAATTAGGTCTGGGATCATCTCTTCCTTTCCCTGGGTTTGATATTAAACAGGTAGAGGTGGGGCCATGTCTCCACTCTCGTAGGCAGAATTGAGATTTGTTAACCATGAAGTGCCAAGGGCTGACGCTTGGCCGGTCCATCTCAGAGCAGCCTGACCCCCCGCCCCCGCCGTGAGTCTGTGTTCGCATGGTGTTTGCGAGGACAGTGATGATGCTCTCACGCTGTCCAGGAAGAAGCCGGTGGACAGGCACCGGAAGCTCCTGTGGTACTACGTGGCCTTCTTCACCTCCCCCTTTGTGGTCTTCTCCTGGAACGTGATCTTCTACATCGCCTTCCTCCTGCTCTTCGCCTACGTGCTGCTCATGGATTTTCACTCGGTGCCACACTTGCCCGAGCTGGTCCTCTACGCGCTGGTCTTTGTCCTGTTCTGCGATGAAGTGAGACAGGTAGGACAGCCCACGTGGGGCACCCCTCCCTCCCTCGGGGCGGAGCAGGGGGGCAGTATCTTCCTCATGCCCAAGAGGAGCAGAAGTTGCTTCTGAAGTTCCAAAGTCATTATTTTCCCCAAAATAATTTGCGGTAGCCCATGGACTTCTCCGCCTCGCAGCACTCCAGTGAGGTCTCTGAGTGCCAGTGCGCTCTTTGCTCTCTAACTGCTGTTCATGGATGATGAATTCCTCAGCGTCGAGAGTGGATCCAAAGAGCACATTGACCTTGGGCTTAAACCATGCCCATAACCAGGAGCCGTCTGTGCTCTGGCTGTCGCCAGGGGAGGCAGTGGGATGAGTGGCAGGGGAGTGGGAGGGCTTTCCAGCTCAGAGCATCTTAATGCCCTGTGTGTCCAGGGGATATGCTGGAAAGTCATAGAAGTCCCTATGGACTGCAGCAACTTTGTGTGAATTATTCATGGTGATTTTCTGCAGTTTCCTGAGATCTGCATTCTCCACCACTGAATCCAAAACCTTAGTCCAGGACTGGCATGGAGTAGGCACTCAGCTCCTAATTATTGAATAAATAAATATCGATGGTGAAGGATGGTGCTGTCCCTAAACCATTATTAAAAGTGACCCCAGAAAATCTGGTCAGACTTAGCAGTTTACAGATTATGAGAACTGCCAGAGTAGTCCCTTTTCTTGTCCCTTCTGAGTCTAAACCTAACATCATATGCATTCGACACGTAGGGCCTACGTGCCTACAGCATATGAGACACTATGCCCCATGCTTCGAGAGATTTGGAAGGCTGGAGAGTGCTGTTCTCGACCTCACAGAGTCACTGCCTAGTAAAGAAATCTTAAATTGGTTTCAACTAACATGTCAACTCTGATAGACATTTTTGTGTGACTTCTAGTTGTCCTGGAAAGACTCTAAAGCTCTGTCTGTTCTTAGTAGGCGGGGGTGGGTGGGTGAGGGGTGGGTGTCTTGATCAGTTAGTGATGTCTGCATGAGTTTGACAGGTGGGAAGAGTCCTGCTTTCCCTTGCCCAGTAGGGTGAAGTGCAGGTGAGGGATGGAGACAAGGTGGAGGTGGAGAAAGAAGAAGGTAAATGACACAAGCCAGTTTTGAGCACGGCAAGATTATCAGGCTTTCTGTCTACCAGAAAGCTCCCCCCCTTCCCCCCGCCAAGGACAGGGCTGCTGACGTGCAGATTTCTGTGATCTCAAATCAGCTTCATGGGTTGACTTAGGGGGTCACAGCTCAGTCCAGCTTGTCCGCTCAGGCCACCAGTCTGCTCGGGCCACCATGACATAGCACCACCAGCTGCGTGCTTACAACAGAAGCTCACTGTCTTATATCTGGAAGCCTGGAGTTCAAGATCAAGTTGTCGGCAGGGCTAGTTCCTTGGGAGGGCAGCAAGGGGAATCTGGGTGTGCTGCAGTCTTTGTGATTCCTTGACTTGTAGAGGTGTCATCTGAACTGTGTCCTCAGGCTTACAGGGCATCCTCCCTGTGTGCATGTCTGTGTCCAAATTTTCCCTTGTCACAGGGACACCCAAATCTGAGGCCCATTCCATTCCTGCCCCTCGCTCATGTTCCCAACATTTCTCCACTAGCCTCGTTCCTGACCCTGCCTCCCCCGTGACATTAAGACACTGAAGCCGCTGTGAAAGTCCAGACACTACTTGCTTCCTCCAGGCATTTGAAGAAGCCATGAGGTCTGGAGAGAGGACTGATTCCAGGTTGCTTTGTAGTACAGATCTTGGCCTGGATGGAAGATTCAGGGAGACCCATATCATTCATGCATTCATTCAGCCAATATTTATCAAGCACCAGGCACTGTTCTAGAGACTTGGATACAGCAATGAAGCAACAGACATCTCTGTCCTTCCAGAGCTTTCTACCAGTTAGAGATGATCGGCAGGGTCCTCTCAGGGAGGATCGGCAGGGTCAAGGGGAGGAGGGCAACCCTAAAAAAGAGAGTCTTACACTTACTGGGAGGTTGGCGCAGGGGACTGGTAACAGTAAAATGTGTCCTTAAGTCACAAACATCTCCATACAAATTCAGAACATTTAACTGCTCAGTCACTTATCGGGTCATGCAGGAAGGAGACTCAGGATAGGTGTGTTTTGCTGGGAGAAGAGCCCTGGCAGGTGTTGTGTGAAGTACCCAAGAGAGTGACACTGGGTGGGAGCAGATGGTGGGCAGGTGGAGGAGCCTCAGGGAGGGAAGTGGGCTGTGGAGGTGCTGGGTAAGCATTCACTTCCCAGTCATTCCCGGGTCCTGCGGGGGGCGGGGGAGTGAGGCCCCCAGGGTCTGGCTGAGCCCCAGCTATCCTGTCTACCTTCAGATTGGGTGATGTTTGATACGGAGGGTGATTAATGAGGACCTATAACTTTGTCCAAGTGTTTCTTCTCTTTCTTTTTATGAGTGGCATTTGAATGGGTCAGCATCCATTCAGCAATACTGTGTGTTAAGGCGATGGTGTGGGACAGGAGTGTGGGTTCAAGGGCAGCCCTGGTTTAGTGGTCTGTGAGGGAGTCTGCAGAAAGCCTGGAAGATGCTTGTCAAGAAAGGAATCCGCCACTGGGGGTCACTGTTTCTCTTCTGTCTTCAGGCTCCTGCAGTGGGAATCCTCAATTTGATTGGAGCCCTCTAACAGGCAGTTCTGCCGGCCTGGTGCAGCCTTAATTAACCTCATTGGCACTTGTTAGAAAAACCAAAACCAAGCAGGATGTTACTGTTTTAGAGTGTGTCTGGGTGTCAGACAATGTGCTCTTTAGTGTATCCCCATGTCCCCTCCCCCAGGGGCAGATGATGCTATGCTAAATTGGAATTTTTAACCAAGGCAGTCAATAAGCTCCAATACAGTCATTAAATAACTCTTAGGTCCACTAAACAGACTGTGGTTCTTCATTTAAAGTAAGTCCCATCATCTCTTTGTGGAGCACACTGTGCAATCTTGAGGCCCTTTGAATCCCCAAATCATGAAAGATATGAAGAAATATGGCCCCAGTACTTTATGAATATAGCCCATATCTGGCATTCCATTCAGAAAAGAGGCCTCTGTTTATTTTTTTAAAAATGTTTTCTCACTGGGGTGGTGCCTCCAAACCCCAAAACTGATCTACTTCGGGTATCTTCCAGCTCGCAGGCCAGGCTTCTGGGACTCTCATGGGCAGGGGCTGAGCTGGGCTGGGGCAGTTGGGTTGCCCACCTGCCCCGGGGCCAGGGTTTCTAAGGGGAAGCAGTGCTACAGGTGGGGCCTGTCCTAACCACTCTCTTCTTGCAAATGTTTCTGGGTGGGTGGAGGTCAGTGTCACTGCGACCACCCAAATGGGTGGTTAGAAGTCTGGATGTGATTTCTGAGCCTACAAGTTCAGTGAAACGAGGCCACACTGGAGCTGCTCAAACCTGGGAGATTTTTCTATCTCCTTGGTGCTAGATTTCACAATGCACTTACCTCCTCTGTACTGGAGCGTTGCTGTTTGCATTTATAAATGAATGCAAGGAAATGCTTCTTGAAAAACCAATGATGCTTTTTTAATCCCTCCAAGTCTAAGGTTGCTGGATCCCTGTGTGACCTAAAGAAGCAGGGTGATGTCCAGAGAGGAATCTAAGATTCAGACTCCTGAGGCTGCCACTTGCTGGCCATCTGCCCTTGGGCAAGTTCCTTAGCTCACCCCTACCCCCACCCCCCAGGCCTTGGTTTCAGCTGCAAAACAGGAAATATAATATCTGAATATCAGACAGACCTATCTTGGTGAGATCACTCAGTAAGACTGAAAAGTACCCTGTTCCATTGAGGACACTGCTTTCCTGCCTTCTGGTGGTTTCCTTATCTGAGCTCCCTTGGGGCTTTGGTCTTGCCTCCCTGCCAACCTTTATCAGGTTTCATTTTAAACGTATTTAATCTGTCCTTCCCAATGGCCCATGGCTTCCTTGAGACTCAACACTGCACCTCATGCCCTGCCTCTGAGTCCCGGGAGCCCAGCACAAGTGTGTGGAGCCCTGTGGGCTCTCAAATCATGTTTTGAGTAGATGGTGGAATGAAGGGGCAAAGTGTCGAGTAACACTCCCTCCACGTTCTGCGTGGAGTAGGGTTCGGTATCTGAAAGTGGAGCCGCACAACAAATGAGAGAAAAAGACACGAGATAATTTTGCAATATTGGGGGACCAGGCGGGCAAGTCCCAAAGGACTTCCACCCATGCTCAGGCTGCTCCAATCTTTTATTGATCTGGAGTAGCCCTTAGGGTAAGGAAGTTTCAATGACACACAGATCAGCAATTTCCAGGAGTAGACAAAAGTATCTGATTAACTCATCAATAGATTTCCAAGTGTAGGCAGAGTAACTGATTAGCTTATCAATAGATTTCCGAGTGTAGGCAGAGTAACTGATTAACAATAATCAACAAGGATCTACATAACTATCTAAGGAATTAAGGGAACTAAGGTGGGGATGCTTCAACTATTATTACCTAAATTAACTGAGTGGTTCCTAGATTAACTGGGTGGTGCACAGCCCTGACCTTTGCTAGGACTTTCAAGCCCTGACCTTTACTAGGACTTTCAATGGCTACTAGCTTTTGGGGGGGTCTCTGTCTAAACTCAGCTAGTGAAGACAATGAATGGACTCCGGCAGCAAAGGACCACCCATGTCCTGGATTGCAGAGGGGCTGGCGAGATGCAGCCTCCTGAAGGACAGTCCTGTCCCTCTCCATCCCCGGGTGGTCCTGGTGGGCTTTCTTCCAAGAAGCCAGGACCAGTCCATACCAGTCATGCTGAAAGGATCAGGGAGGCACACACTGTTCCTGTCACTTATTTCTGTGGCCACAGCTGTCCTCAGAGATGCCACATAGAGCACATTTGTGCAATTTTTTTTTTAAAAAGGTTCCTTTGTATCAAGATGTTTTATTACTACATGTTAGAAAATTCTTACAATAAATACACGGATCTGCGATGCTGACAATATGGAGAACACCCTCTAGAGTTGTGCAGGGCACAGCCTACACCACGGTACTCGGTGGACGGGGATCCCACGTCTGCCCCCACGGGCTGTGCTCACTCTCTGCACATTCATTTTCAAGAACTGTGAGGATACAGGAGTCCCTTCTGGTGAGTTGATCAGCAGCACGTGTATAACAGAGCAGCAAGCGTGCAACTCACTTCCGGTCCCCCTGGATCAACATGAGGCACATGCCAGGGCTCACCCAGCGCATCACTGGCTCCAAAGGAGCTTGAAAAAAATGTGTGGACGTGAGCTAATCTGGAAACAGTGATGTTTCCACGCCGCTCACGTCCTCTCTCTGTCCCTTTCTGCACTATAGTGGTACATGAATGGGATGAATTATTTTACCGACCTGTGGAACGTTATGGACACACTTGGCCTTTTTTATTTCATCGCAGGAATTGCATTTCGGTAAGTAGTCCTCACTGCTTTTCCCAGTTTCAGGTGGGTTGGGCTTCTCTTGGAAGAAAGGGTAAAGGAAAGATCTTTGACATTCAAGCCCAAGATAAGCCAGTTCCCCACCCGCCAGAGGTGGTTCCAGAAGGCCACTGTCCCTGCTTCCCGGAGGCACAGTGTGCTAGCGTAGAGCTGTCTCTCCCTTCCCCTCCTGGTGACCTGTAATTGAAAGGGACTCTTCCTGGTTTTTCACTGTGTGCTCACAGAACTTGGGGGGAGATAATTAGAAATTGAGGAGAGTAGAAAGTGATGAGGCTCTTAAATATCACACAGTGTTTTCATTTGAGGCCATACAATCTTCCAAAATGCCCTCAATTTCAATTTGCATGCTGGTTATGGAGCCTGCCCTCCTCACTACGAGTGTATTTCCAATCTAAAAGCAATCACACTAGAAAAACCAATCTAAAATTATGGTCAAAGGCAAAAAGCAATGTGCAATCCGAGGGATAGAGAAAAAATTGGGGTCCACCCAGCACCACGGCTCATGTTGCCTGTGCCCGCGTCCACCCGCGCCTGCCCTCCCCACATAACTTCAGGGTGGACGCCGGGTTCTATTTGAGCAGCACACAATGTCCCTTTGCAGAGGAGCCTGATGATCCATATTTGTACCCCAGAATGAGGTGTTTACAGTGAATGCTCGATCTATCATTTGCAGGGAGTAAAAACTCAATTTCCTCATCCAGGAAACTCCCTTTCTGCTTAGGTTAAGAGCCCCCAATTTTTTTTTTTTTTTACAATATACAAAATAAATCTATTACCAGATTGTAGATACAAAATAATTAGCCATTTACATGCAGTAAACATTAGTATTTCAAGAAAAATATTTTAAATATAATAATATTACCAAAACTGTACTAACACAGTATAATATCACAAAAGTTGTAGGAAATATTAAAAATCTGCAAATAACAGGAATTCTTCTACTATATTCTAAAATATATTTTTTCCTCTGGCTCTATTTTTGTTCATCAGTTTATGCTATTCATTATATTCCACAAATGAGTGAGATCATGTGATATTTATCTTTCTCTGACTGGCTTATTTCGCTTAGCTTAATGTTCTCTAGGGCCATCCATGCTGTTGCAAATGGTAAGAGTTCCTCCTTTTTTACAACAGAGTCATATTCCATTGTGTAGATGTACCACAATTTTCTAATCCACTCATCTGCTGATGGGCACTTAGGCTGTTTCCAAATCTTAGCTATTGTAAATTGTGCTGCTATGAACATAGGGGTGCAT